GCAGGTCCCTAAGGACCCACTCTGACACTGGGGGGGGTGGGATGCGGCAGGTCCCTAAGGACCCACTCTGCTTGGCTGTTCTGCTGAGGCACAGCCAGTGACCAACCTTACCCCAAGGGACTCAAAGTGTCTGAAGCTGGAGATTTGCATGTTTAACTGGGATTCTGATTCGCCTCCCACCCACCCCACCCCATTTTGGTTTTTCGAAACAAGGTTTCTCTATGTAACAGTCCTGGAACTCACAGAGATCCGCCTGCCTCTGCCTGCCAAGTGCTGGGACTAAAGGCTTGGGCCACCACTGTGGGGCTCTGATTTGCTTTTTATCTGCTTTACAAGAGTGAGTTGGCTGGTTCAGCCATAACTTTAAAAATGTTGTTACTGTGATCAAACATGCACTAATAATAATGGTAACACAACGATTGTGGCTGATCACATAACTTTATAGTCACACACACACACACCCTAATTTACAGAACTCATTTATTGATGTGTGGGTGTGGCCTGGCACACGGGTGAAGGTCAGAGGACAACCTTGGGAAGCTGGCTTTCTCCTTCCTCCAGGCAGGTCCTGAGGCTCAAACTCAGGCCGTCAGGCTTGGGAGCAGGCACTTTTACCAGCTCAGCCATCTTGCCAGTCCTGTTGTGCTGTTGCTACAAGACACTGGCAGGATAATTACACACAAGACTTCCTTAGTTGGGCATCACGGGCAGCCCTATGACCCTAGCTGCCTGACTGGCTGAGGCAAGGGTCCCAAGTCCAAAGTCTGCCTAGGCTATAGAACAACTTCAAGGCTACCAAGGTCAACTTAGTGAAATCCTGTCTCAAAATAAAAACTGCTTTAATAAATAATTAAAAAATTATATACATACATATATGTGTGTATATATATTTGGCATATATATATATATATATATATATTGTGTGTGTGTGTGTGTGTGTGTGTGTGTGTGTGTGTGTATACAGGGTTTCACTATGTAGCTTTGGCTGTCCTGGAACTCACTATGTAGACCACGCTGTCCTCAAACTCACAACAATCCGCCTGCTTCCACCTTCTGAGTGCTGGCATTAAAGGCAAGTGCCACCACACTAAA